TGTGTGTTCAGGTGATAACAGTGTGTTGGGTGTGTGTTCAGGTGATAACAGTGTGTTGGGTGTGTGTTCAGGTGATAGGCCATCACAGTGCCCACCTGGACCCTCTGGGGATCAGCTGTGTGAATTTTGATGTTGCTCCGGTGAATACCGGCTTCCAGGACGTGGGTGAGAACTCCACGACTAAAGCAACACACAAACTCATGTTAACCATGGTTTTCCCTCTCACCCACCCACCTTCCTCCTCTTCCTCCTCTTCCTCTCTCCCTGTGTTTGAATCTGGTCACGCTCCTCCTCCTCCTGTGTGCCACACTTTAACCCCTCCCCCTCACTCTGCTCGTCTCTTCATCTCTCCTCCTCCTCTCCTCCTGGGTGGGTCCTGTGCTGTGTCGCCCCTGTAGATCCGAGGGCACCATGTGGCCCAGTTGGACCCCCTCGGCATCATGGACGCTGACCTGGACTCGTGTGTTCCCACTGACATTATCACCTCCTCCGACAAGCTGGGTGAGGATCAGATGCTGCCACCTAGTGGTCGGGTTAGAGATGGCGACTAACAGACTCGGCAGCCATTTTTATTTCTGTGGTCAGAATAAACGATGTCCAGGAGGGAACGGTGGTTCTGGGTCTGAGGACTCTCATCTGGAAAATGTTTATTTTTAATTTTACGTCTGTTTCGTCATCACTAAACTTCCTCCACGGTCTTCATAGTAACCTTCATGACGAGGTTAACCTTTAATGATGAGGATCCTGCAGCTCTAAACAAAGACAGAGGATATGAAACCTGACTCCGCCCTGTGAATATTAGCTTTAAATCAACCTTTAATCATGTGTTTGGAGACGTTTCTTCTCTTTACAACAGAAGGTTGTTTATCTGAGCCTGGAGAACACATGAGACTGTTCAGTGTAGAATAGGGTCGGACAAAATTGTATCGTGTTTAATTAATCGGCAGTAAATTTGTCAGTAATTTATATTTGCTACGTTGCGATTACTACAGTTAGTTCCATGTGATGATGTATTTTAGTGTACGATCCTCTCTGACTGTCGGGCGTGCAGACCAGTTTACTACTACTTCTACTTCCTGTTATCTTCTTCATCATCGTCTTTTTCACCAGTAGAAACAGACGGTTGTTGATCATGTGACTCCTGTGATGTGAAAAAAGTGTTTCCATTGCAGTTTTGTGAAAAACACCAATTTAGATACGGCTAAAAAACCACCTCATCCTAGTGCAAAAACATTTTGTTGAAAAACGTAATATTTTTCGAAATGGACGTGTTTCCATTCAGCAAATTTATTTTCGAAATTCTAATTTGCGCATTTTCATGGTCAATGGAAACGCAGCTAGTGAAGTTTTACTTAAATTTATTGAGTTTTATTATTATTTTAAATAATAAAACTGATGTTTGAACAGGAGCGGAGACGTTTTCTATCCTCTGTAAAAGCTTTATTTGTAATGAAAACCTAATCATTTAACAGCCCTGCTTCCTGTGCAGCTCTGTAACTTCTCTGGTTTTGGTCAGAACCAGAACCCTGAGTCTCATAAAGCAGCTCAGGTTTGGACTTCTTGTTGACCTTTGACCTCTGCCGGCCGATGAAGTTAAAGCTCTTCGGTCTGCAGACCCTCGTCTTCCCTGTGGACTGTGTGGACCCTTAACGAGTCCAGAGTCTCTGGTTCTGTTCGTGGTGGAGTCTCTCAGGAATTAGTCCCGTCCCGGCTGTAGTGAAGGTCCAGATCAAACTGCTGGTAGACCAAGAGCTCTGCTCTGGATGGCTCTGATAAACCTGGGTTAAACAGGTCAGGGGTCACTAATGTTGTCCGGGTGTGTCTCCCCACTGCTGCCCCCTGCTGGTGACCCCCCGCCCCCACCTCCAGACGGGTTCAAGAACAGGCTGAGGCTGCTGACGGTGGGAGGTATGAAGCTGCTGTGTTCCTGCTGTGAAGCCTCTAGCTGCTCTTTAGTTCTCCGCTGCAGCGCTGCCGGGCCTGCTACACGAGCTCAGGACGGGTTGGACCAGAACCGCAGGTTCTGGTCCAACCCGTCCTGAGCTCGTGTAGCAGCAGCTGGGCCGTAGAGGCGACCGGATGGCCTTGTTTCATGTGGTTCAGTGCTTCTAGCGTTTAAACCAAACTAAATTAAACTTTTAAAAATCTACAAGTTGGACCCAAAACCTGTTCAGGTTCTTCTTAAAAGTTCTCAGGTGTTCTGGAGTTTTCTGCAGCAGCTGATGCTGTTAGCTTGTTAACCCTTTAGCCGCTTCATTAATCCAACTTACAGCCATTGTTTTATTATTTAAGAGATTCTACAAAGAAACATCAGGTCAGTTTAATAAAAATAAAGTTAAAACTTTATATTTGAGACAAAACTAAAGTAAACTGAAAAGGATGTAAATATGTTTTAAAATGTTAAAAGTTACATATTTAAAAGGCCTGCTCAGTTCAGTGTTTGAATTTCATCAAAAGGAGAATAAACTATAAAATGTTTTTAGCTTTTCTAGATTATTTAAAATAATTAAATTATAAATTATTGCTTTAAAAAAGCTTTAATCCAGATGTATTTAGAACACCTGATGAATTATTTTATTTTTATTTATAGCTTTTAGCACCAGGGTCACCACCTCCACAGGCCATTAATGGCCCTCTGTTGAGCTGGAAGTGGCCCCCAGGCCGTCAGTTGATGACCACAGTTTGAGGCTCTGAACACGTTTTTATTTACAGAAAGTCTCTGTTTGGAACAAGAGAAAAAGATCATTTCTGCATCTTTCTGCATGGAGTGGCTGCATGATGGTACTAAATG